ATTGCTACTCTAACTCCATCGAGTACATTCTCATCTTTTCCTGCAAACTGCTTTCCAGATGATCACATTTATTTATTTATTTATTTACTTATTTAGAGGCGCTGGGGGTTGGACCCAGGGCCTTCACATGGAGCTACATTCTCAGCCCTTTCTATTTTTATTATTTTGAGACAAACTCTTGCTAAGTTACTGCCTAGGCTGGGTTTAAAATAGAAATCCTCCTGCCTTAGCCACCCTGAGCCCTGGGATTCCCGGCATGCATTAAGTATGCCTGGTTTAGATAATTGTATTTATGAAAACATATATATACTTTTTTCCATGTGTATGTGTGGTGTGGCAGGATGGCATCTTTTTCGCATCTGTGCATGGAAAGTCTTTTAAAATGGCTGCATGGCATTCCAATTTGTGGATGTACTACCAATCATTATTTCACTAGTCCCGTGTTGAGAAGAGCATTCGGATTATTTCCAAGCTGTTAGTCTCCGAAACAGAACCGAATGGAATACACTTGGAGGTTCATCATTTTGCTGGTGCGCAGGTGAATCCGAGGGAAAGTAAGAGGTGTGACTGTAGGGCGTGCAGGGACGCAGGGATGCCTGTTGGTGACAGCGGAGTGCAGAAGCAAGCGCTGCTCAGGACCGCACTACCTACCGAGGCCTGCTTCCCTCGGCCGCTCTCCACGCACTCCTCCCGCCACCCCTGTCACAGAGCTCAGCTCCTGTCCTTGGTCACCCTCCCAGCTGCCTCTGAGCAGCAGGAGTGATGGCGATGTCCCCAGCATTTATATTTGTAATTTCATTTGTGTCTGTAATTGACTTGCATTTCTAACTATATTTCTGCTTGTAAGTTTAATACTATATTCATTTTCTGTGGCTGCTGGAACAAACTGTCACACACTTGGTGATGTTAAACGATGGAGATGTATTTTCTCACAACTCCAGATGCCAGAACCCTGGAACCAAGCTGTCAGCTGGGCCGCATGCTCTCCAGGGACCCTGGAGGAGAACCTGCTTCTTACCTCTTCTGCTCCTTGGTTTGTGGCCATATCACTCTGATTTCTGCCCTGGCATTAGTTTTATATAACTGCAATATAATAGAATACTTGACACAGGTTACTTATGAAGTAAAGAGAGGTGTTTTTTGGCTTGAAATTCCGGAATGCAAATTAAAATTACACTGCGATACTGTTTTACCCCAGAAAGAGTGGACGCCATAAAAAAAAAAATCTAATAATAACTAATGCTGGGGAGGATGTGAGGAGCAAGGAACCGTATTACATTGTTGGTGGGAATGGAGACTAGTGCAACCACTACGGACATCAGTATGGAGATTCCTCAAAAAACTAAAATGAGAAATTCTATTTGACCCAGCTATTCCCCTTCTAGGTAACTTCCCCAAAGAGTTAAAATCAGTATACTGCAGGGATACACGCATACCCATGTTTATAGCAGGACAATTTAAAATAGCTTGATCTTACAAACAGCATATATGTCCATCAACAGATAAATGGATCAGAAAATATGGTATTTATATGCAATGGAGTAGTATGCTGCCATAAAGGTAAACTTCAAGCATTTACAGGTAAATGGATGCAACACAAGAATATAGTATTAAATTAAAAAAAATCACTCGTGGGCCCGGCGCAGACTGTGCTGCGCGGGTGCCTCGCCCGGGCAGCCACGGTTGGTGCCCGGAAATGTAGGCAGCAGGCGCCTGGGAAGCAGCGCGGAGATGCGTGCTGGCCCTCGGATCTGCCGATGCCATGCGGTCGAGAACCTCCAGGCCACAGAGAAGCACCGACACAGCAGGCCTCCCCGGAGACGTGCGTGAACCATCCCTACACGGAGAAACCTCTGGGAAAACATGCCACACGGCGGGTCGCTCTTGGCCCTGCCCTTGAGAGCCAGAGAGGTCCGGAGTCAGCGGAGGAGCAGCTGATGAACAAGGACTCGGAGAACACGAGAGCACCGACAACAGACGACTCAGAGGTGGAGCTGACTGGGGACGCGAGAGCCATTCGGGAGCCGGAGACCAAGAGGACCTTGCGCAACACCCAGGGAGACCCCCTGGAGGCCATTCTCCCCCTAACTGTACAGGCTGTGGTGGAATAGCGAGTGGAGCTCCGGAGAGGTCTGCACCGAGACTTCATGGATTACGTGGGTGCCCAATATTCAGATTCTGAAGAACTGCCTTCATGGAGAAGGAGGAGTCCCGCGAAATCATGAGTATAGAGGAAAAAGTGGATGGCCCATTGCTGGACACGAGTGCTGGTCTCTCGGTCCTTCTTTTCAGTCCTGGCCTTCCTTCCAGCCGTCACACCTCAGAGAGGGGAGTCACTGATGAGGTAATCCGCTATTTTTCGCAACACTTTGACTGTAACTACTTGTTGGATCTTTCTTGCATATCTTTGTTTTCCTGAGAAACCACTTTGAGGATGCCAACATGTACTGCAGCAGCCATTGATGATCTCCTATCAATCTGTCCAAAACTCTGTAATATTTGTATTGCTCCTAGGCTACTTTGTAAATAGATGTACGTTTGTTACTATGTGTTTCCAACAACAACCATTTAGAACGTCAATGATTATTTGATTGATCACTCATGTATAGCTCTATTTGTTTTCCCTAGAGACCATTTTGGAGAAACCAGGGTACAGTACAACAACCATTCATAATTTCCTACCATTTCTGTCTGTAACTCACTATTATTTGTCTATTTGTTTTCCTGAGAAACTATCTTGGACATACCAATAGGTAAAATAACAACCATTGATATTGTCCTACCACTTTGTCTGTAATTCAGTGTATCCCCCTACTGCTTTGTTCTTATTTTACTCTTTAAAATTAAAAAAAAAAAAATCAGACACAGAAGCTCAAATATTGTATGGTTGCTCTTATATGGAAAAAAATACTATAAATAGGAGGTAGTGAGAAGTTTAAATACTTTGCCAATTTACATATTCCATTGTTTAAAAAATATTTCAATAATGTGCTAGTTTTTTCATTCCTATGAATAGTTTATCTTAGTTCGTTGAAAAGAAAGTTTGTGTTATTATCTGTTTCTTTCTGGTCAGAATCATTTGATTTATGTCTTCTACTGAGTAACAGAAGAAAATGATACACTGTGTAATAATTATTATTATTCTCTTATTTGGCTATGAAAATTTGTTTTATTTTTTCACAAAATAAAGTAAATACAATTAAGTGCAATGCAAAGGAGGGGCTGGAGGCGTGACCAAGTGGCAGAGCACACGCATCGCATGCTTGAGGCGCTAGGCTTGAGCTTCAACCCTGCAAAAAAGAAAGAAGAAAAGGGTGAGACTTAGGAAAACAACTATGTCAAATGATAAAAATATAAGGGCCGAGGATGTAGCTCAGTGGCACAGCGCCTGCCTGGCAAGCACAAGGTCGTGAGTTCGATTCCTGATACCAAAACAAAAAAACTCTGATACAAAAGATCCAGTACACATGCGTATCTCTATTCATGCATTTATTCACAAGATCCAGTAGGCAATGAAGTCTGAAGTAGCAATGGGTGTAAATGCTATTTTGAGAGATCTGCTGTAGCTGAATGGAATATGAATATTTCTGTGATTCCTTTCATCAGAGCCAGGGCTAATTCTATCAGGATTTGTTGCAGTGGAAGGAAATACTCAGTTTTAGTTGGTAAAAATAAAGATTCATTTTCTTCCCATTCGCAACCTCAGATCTCTTGACTTCTACCATGGGCCCCTGAAGGGCGAGTTCAGAGACCCCAGAGGAAGCTCTAATTGAGACGGGCGTACAGACCCAGCCCTTGGTGTTGCCACATTCTTCTCAGACCTCCAGGAGTGGTCTTCCCTGAAGTCCATTGATGAAATCACACCAGCAGCTAATGCCTGCTTCTGGGCATGCACGTTTACGGACACCTCTTGCAGTGTGGTGAGGGAGCCCACAGAAGTACCCTTCTGGTTCTCATCATGGCCTGAATTGTGAACCAGTTCTTGGGGAAACAGGAAACTCCCCTGCCTGTGTACGTTCTCTAGGAAATACAGGTTGCCCTCGGGTCCACAGAATGGAACAACAGACGCTGCGGATCCAGGCGCTCAGTGAAGTGACAGCTCCTTGTGGCAGTGTGTAAGTCTGGGAGCCTCCATCAGCTCCCGGGGACGGGAGTCTGGTGGAGCCAGACTGTAATGGGATCTGTCTGCCATGGCGTCGAGGGTGTATGTCTTAGAGAATAACGGCTGCTATCCAACTTCCTATATTAGGCTGATTAATTAGAGTGTGCACGCATTTGTGTGTGTGTGTTGTTGGAGATTGAAGCCAGGGCCTTCACACTGAGCTTCACTCCATTCCTTTCTAGTTTTGGTGGGTGGTGGTCGTGGTGGTTGGTTGGTTAGTTGGGTGGTTGGGACAGGGTCTTCCTAAGTTGCTGTATTGCCCACAATGGACTTGAACTTGACATAGGCTCTCTGACCTCAGCCTGCCAGAGTGTTGGGATTACAAGCATGCACCACCACACCCAGTTAGGTTGATTAATTAATAATCATCTCTTGGTAGAAAGTAGGTCTGAAAGCAGAGCACATTTTAGATGTGGGCCTTTAAATAAAAGTAAGCAGCAGACTTTGACAATGGCATGAGTGGCATAAACTGGAGCTAATGCTTTTGCAAAATGAAATAAAATTCAAATGTAGTCATTACTGCTTACTATATTTAAATCACAGCCACTATCTCATGGGAGAAAGAAGTAAACAGCTTTCACCTGGGACACCTAATAATGTTGTGCCCGGGGGACATCAACACAACAATCTGGAGCAGCTGCCAGCAAACTGTTCATGGCTCTTGCTAAGCTCCTTCGGCTCTCCAGAATGGTTTTAGCTGGAGGAAAACTCGTGACCAGGACACCTCTGTGCTGTCTGTTCCACACGTAATTCCTTCACCTCAGATCTGCTGTGGAACTGCCTGTGTTTCTTTGACTGTTTCATTCTCTATGCAGATGTTGAAATTTTACCTAACAATGTGGCGTTTGAGAGTACAAAGCCCTCCGGGACTGTCAAGCTCTGAGACTATAAATCATCAACGAAAGTATGGAGTCCATAATTGGCTTTAGTGAGACGTGGCTTTGCCTATAGACTTGCTGACTGCTACTATCTGCCCAGCAACTTGTAATAGAAGCACGAGGATAAGCCCTCTTATTTATTTTCTTTAAAAAATATTTTATTAGTGTAATATAGAACAGTAACATTTGTTTGGAGGAATTGGCACATGCATATAATGTATCCTGATAATTTTCAAACCCTTCCCCACCCCTTACCCCAGTTCCCTTCCCCAACTCAGAGTCTGTCTTCTTGTTTCCTACTGTCTTTCCTTTGTTACGGTTATTTATTGATTGATTAATTGATATTTTGGTTTTCTTATATAAGATAAGCCATGTGATATTTAACTTTCTGTGTCTAACTTATTCCACTTAGCACTGTGGTCTCAAGTTCCAACCATTTTCCTGCAAATAACATTTCATTCTTCTTCATAGCTGAAAACATTCCACCATATACATATTCCATTTTCTTTATCCAATCACCTGTCACCAGGCAACTAGGCTGTTTCAGGAGTTTAACTATTGTGAATTGTGCTACTATACACATGGGTGTGCGTGTATCACTATAGCATGATGGCTCTAACTCTTTCTGGGATATACCCAGGAGAATGAGGTATAGTTGCACCAAATGCAATTTCTATTTTTGTACTTTTTTATTTTAAAAGAATAAAAAAAGTACAACAGCAAAATAACAACATAGACCAAAACAAAACAAAGCTAACACAATAAAAATGAAACAGGGTTTCAAAATAAAATGAGAGGAATTAACAGTGGTTGCTATATTACATATTGTTATCTTCAATGAAGTTGCCCAGATTACTAGATGTAGGAATGCAAGATAATCAAACCATTAAAGAGAGTAAAAAAAATTAGGATCAATAGAGCTCCACTAGACAAGATGGTAGGAATCCACCAATGGTTGCTATATTGCTGTCTTCAGATTAGTTGTTAGATGACCAGATATAAGCATGCAAAGGTCCATGCTGATTTTCATACTGGTTATTAGTTTACATTCCCATCGACAGTGTAGAAGAGCTTGTTTCCCCCACATCCTCACCACCATTTGTTGAAGAGGCTGTCTTTTCTCCAGTATATGTTTTTGGTCCCAATTCTCCCTCACTTCATATCTGCCTGTATTGCCCTTCTCTGTATACCTATCTAGTCAACACTTTTGCAAAATGTAAAGCCTTTAAAGAAAGAAATGAATCTAAACTAAATGATTGACACCAGTATGCAATATATGAAAAGTAAGGTAGGAGAAAAACTGCTAAATATATTCAGGTTTAATGATGATGAAGATGATGGTGATGATTTTTTTCTTTTTGTCCTTTTGAGACAAGGTCTAGCTATGCAGTTCAGGCTGGCCTTGGGCTCACTTTGTAGCCTGGGTTGGTCTCGAACTTGCAAGGATCCTCCTGTCTCAGCCTCCTGAGTGCTGGGATTACAGGTGTTCACCACCATGCTGGACTGATGGTGATGATTAATACATTCATTAAGTACCTCCTACATGATGCAAACTATTTTGTTTCTGGGCTTTTTATTCTATTCCTCTGGTCCAAAGGTCTGTCTTTATGTTGATAGTATGGTGCTTTCATTACTGTAGCTTTGTGATATTCTTTGAATTCAATTAAGTGTGAGATTTTCAACTTTGATCTTTTTAAAAGTTGTTCTGGCTACTTGGGACCCTGGAGATTTCTTATTAATTTTAAGATCATTTTTTTTTCTTCTTTTCTTTCTTTCTTGCTTGCTTTTTCTTTTTTTTCTTTTCTTTCTTTTTTTTTGGACACAGTCTCATTATGTAGTTCAGGCTGCCCTTGAACTCACTATCTAGTCCAGGCTGGCCTGGAACTCACAGTGATCCTCCTGCCTCAGCAGCCTCCCAAGTGCTGGGATTATGGGCGTCTGCCACCACCCCAGCTCCTTCTTTTTTTTTTTTTTTTCCTTTCTCTCTCCCTCTCTCTCTCTCCCTTCCTTCCTTTCTCTGCTATCATTACTTTATTATGGTTACTTTCAAGGAGTCACTGGATGTAGAAAGACTAGAGCACAGACCGAATTCCACTCTTTTAACTTTGATTTAGTTACTTAACTTTTCTGAGCTTCTGTTTTCTCATCTGTCAAATGAGAATAATAACATCTATCTCATACATCACTTCAGTGTGAGGTTATCATCAACACTATTATATCATACTTAGGTGATGTTATTGATATTTATGTTAACATAATATCATATTTGGCTACAATGAGTACATTTTCTAGGTACAATTTTTTTTTTTTTGTCTTTTTGAGACAGGGTCTCACTGTGCAGTTCAGGCTGGCCTTTAACATACTTTGTAGCCCAGGCTAGCCTCAAACTTGCAGTAATCCTCCTGCCTCAGCCTCCCAAATGCTGGGATTGCAGGTATGCACCACTACATCCAGCATGGTACAACTGTTTTTAAATTTCCTTTTCTCCAGATTTTTTTCCTATTAATTTTAAAAAGTTTTATAAATTCATATTTGCAGTACATAGTGATTATATTTATTGTGCTTACTAATACCCATTTTCTCTTTATGATAGACTTGAGCTTGGGTTGGCTACATGGCCATCCTGCTGGGGACATGTCCCAGTATACCTTCTGGTTAAGTGTAATTATGTGACTCACTTCTGTCCAATGAAGCATGAGTAGAAGTTATTTGTACACTCATGTGCTTCTGTGTCACTTTCCCCTCTTCCTCTACGGAAATAAGTCTTATGTGGTGATCGCCATGTTGCCTTACTACCCTGGACCACCAAGACTGTGAGGGAAAGACTCTTGGGTAAGCCATGTGTCCTTGGGTTTTTTTGTTGTAGCAGCATAGCCTAAACCTTCGTTAATAAATATTCAGTTAGGTTGCATGTATTATGAGTTCAGCATAATGAGACTCTCAGACATATAGCCAAGACTAGAATATCACCACCTGTATGCAAGCTTCAGTGATTGCTCGTGTCTGTTAATTTTCTTGGTGATTTTTAAACTATGCTTCCCAACTCAGCACCTTTTTATAAAGATTTTGGCATTGACCTGTGGAAGTGAGGCATGAGCTTTCAGTACAAATGAGCGCTCATCTCTCTACCTTCTCAGCACCTGCTTTCGTTGTGGGGTTGCCTGATTGATGCTAGGAGTTTGGCCCGAGGACCAGGGATCGAGTTTGACCAAGTGGTCATCCTACCAGTGAGATTGTGGTCAGCCCAGAAACACCAGCTCCAACAGCTCTGCAAACCAGTGTGGTACGTGGTGGCATGTTGATGACATGCTGATGTGCTTCACAGCAGGGCCAAGCATAAGGCTCACACTTTCTTCATATCGCTGCTGCCAACTCTTTTGGACACTCACGCACCACAGGCTGGGAGCTGAAGACGTGATACCTGAAATTCACTGCCCAGGTGTGGATTTCATGTGATATCAGAGCGATCCGCAGGGAGGAAATATTTGGAGCTGTTCATGTGAAGTGAACTGACTTTTTAGAATTTTTTTTTATTAAGGGGATCTTCAAACATATTCATAGGTAGAGAGGTTAACATGATGAGCATTCATATCCATGAATGTTTTTACATAGATAAAATCAAGTTAAAAGGAATATCAAGGGCAGCTTTGAAGAAGCAAAGAACTTGAAAAAAAAAATAAAGGATGGTGTGATAAAAGGGAAAGCCATGCTCAAAGGCCCTTTAGAACATGGCCAACACGACCAAGCTTACATCACCCTGGGCATATCACCCACAGGATTTAAGAATAAATGAACCATAGTAAAAATTAACACTTATTGAATCTTTCCTATGCACTCTTTCACAAGTGTATGAACTAACCAGTATTATTATCCCATTCCACAGAATAGAAAATTGAGGCTTTCAGAAGTTTCAGTTAACTTTCTACTGGTCCCACAGCTGGTGAAAGTAAGTATCAGAGCCAAGATCTGAACAAAACCCTTTGACTCACGAGCCTGTACTCATAACCAAATACTTGCATGGATTGAGTTTAGTCTATGAGTGTTCTGACTCAAAACCAGTTGAGGCACGAGTTAAAAAGGCAAGTTTCCCACTTTATTCTTGACCTCATACCTCAGAACATCAAGATGTGAAGTCTAGGAACATCTATTTGAAAAACATGTTTGAAGCCCATCAAAGTTTGAGAACCAGCGCTCCAGGCTCTCTTGTGGAGTTTCAGTTTCTATCCAAAGTTGTCTGAGCTTTTTGGATTCTACACCTTTGTCTGTAAAATGTTTCAAAGTAGGTTTTCTCTGTGCTTTCTCAGTCTCTTTCCAAATTACACCAGGCCCTCCAGACATGTGTTCTCTATCCTTGGACTCAACCAACCAAGGATGCACAATATTTGGAAATAATAACCTGCATCTGTACTGAACATGTACAGGTATTTTGGCTTGTCATTATTCTCTAAACAATTCAGTGCAATAATTACTTACACAACTTTAACTCTGTATTATTATGAATAAGCTAGAGGTGATTTAAAGTATATGGGAGGAGGAGCTGGGGATTTAGCTCAGTGGCAAAGTGCCTGCCTGGCAAGCGCAAGGTCGTGAGTTCGGTTCCCGGTACCGGAGAAAAACAAAACAAAACAAAACAAAAAGTATATGGGAGGATATATGTAGGTAATAGGCAAATATCACCTGCATGGATTTTGGTAAATTTAAGGGGTCCTGTAACAAAGCTTTCAAGGATACTGAAAAACAACTGTATATCTGCTCTTTATATATTACATTTTAATGTGTAGATACTATTAGTCTAATGGACTATGTATTTTACAAATGTGCACAAATAAAAACTTTGTAAGACTCTTCTTGGTGTATGTACACCACCTCACTTTTAAGAATGCTGGTCCAAGATGGACATGGTATCAACCGCCTGCAAGCCCCGTACTCTGGGAGACTGAAGCAGAAGGATCACAACTTTGAGTCCAGCCAGGACAATTTAACCTACTCAGTGAGGCCCTGCTCCAGAATAAAAAAATTACATAAAGGGCTGGGAAAGTAGCTCAGTGAAGGCCCTAGGTTGCATCCCCAGTACCACACACAAATACAATGTTGGTCTACCTTCCCCAGGATTCTTGAATTTTAATTTTTATTTATTATTGACAATTTGAATTTATTAAATTTATTATTGACTATTTGAATTTTTATTCTATCATATGACAAATATCAAACGGGAGTTAGTCCTGAGGAATTAAAAGTCAGGAAATTTCACACAAAAAAATTCAGATTTCTGACTTCTTTTGAGACCATCTGGACCTGGGTTTCTGCTGCGTCGTTAGCAGGGCGGCTGAGGGAACATACTCCCGCTGACAGGGAGCCATCTCCAGTCACGGCAGTGCCCGCCTTCTCCGCCTCACTCTGTCACACGCATTCCAACTGGTGGACACTGCAGACACTGACGTCAGATCTGCCGCCTACACAGGCGGATTTCTAATGCAGCCTAACTCAAAGACAGTCATCACGCCATGCTATGATCTACCAGCTAATTTTTACGTCTGTCACTTTTCAAATCAGTCATCTTTGATGCATACAATTTGCCAGTTTTGTAGACTCCCAATCATCAAAAGAAAGGAATTCTACAGAGGTCAACCTCCTCCTAAGCCTGTGATTATGGTATGCACGACATGATAGCTTGTTTGAATGATGCAGGTTATTACAGGGCCTGGAGATAACATGCTAGTGACAAAGGGAATTTCACTAGCCAAGGCATCTCAAGAACATGGTGGATTGCCCTTGGTTTCAAGGGAGACTTAAAATTACCATTATGTCCCTTTCCAAGGAAAAATGTGGGCAGAGAGGAAAGATATCCTATAAATTAAGCTTGTTCCACAGCTTAAGTCACTTATTGAGGGTGAGGTAGGAACTTGGAATGAGAAAAAGAACTGTTTCATTATTGTCTCAGAACTTCAGTAGGAAAAGGAGCCGCTAAGTTTGTGTTTATCTATCTGTCACTTCACTATCACCCAGCTGTCCTCTGGCCTACCACTTCCTGGCACATCCGAACAGGACACGGACTTAAGTGCAGAACCCTCATAAGTGGATTTTTGTGAGGAATTTTTTTCTCTAGTCACAATAAATTTTATTAGAAATAATAATCTCCTAAAAGAAAAAGTGACGATGTTTAAAATTTTACAAATGGTTAGAGATTTAAAAACTAAGATCAAATTGTCCTCATAGAGTTTAACTAGAAATATATACCCAGGAAAAATGATTTGATAAAAACAATGGCCACAGAAGAACACTCACTCTAGCAGAGGTTACAGTGAATACAGTTTAACAGGTGTACTCAATCTTTCCTGCAAAATTTATACAAAGAAAATTAAAGTTTTGAATGTTGTACTAGTAAAAATAAAATGTATCAGAAACAAATTTTTAGGACAAGAAATTGATTTAAGTGTTAAACTGGCTTAGTGGAACTCAGAGAATGTGAATGATCCCGTTCACTCTGGGGACAGAGGACTTTGAACGCGCGGCAACTCAGGCCCTGTGTGAGACAACACACACATAATCCCACAGGCTACCACTTAACGTAGACCTGCCTGGACAACACCATTTCTCCAGGCGCCCTCCAGCTTCAGTCCAAGTGGAGGACTTCCCCAGCCTGATTCCTTTGTGCACACCACTTCCCTTGCCTAGTTGGTCTTTCCATGTCCAAATTCCTAGGCTTCCTTTAAGACGAGATCCAGCAACTCCTTGTTGCCATTTTTTTCTTTTTTCTTTTTTTGAGACAAGGTCTTTCTGTGTGGTTCAGGCTGGGCTTGAGTTCACTATGTAGCTGAGGCCGGCCTCACACTTGCAGTGTTTCTCCTACCTCAGCCTCCCGGGTGCTCAGATTGCAGATGTGTGCCAGCCCTCTTGACCTAGTTGCCTTTTTTATGGCCTCCACCTCCCTGCAACTTGGACCTTGCCTCTCTCCATAAACTCCTCCTGCTAAAGTCCCCACTCACCTGTGCGCTGCCAAATCCATGCAAAATTCTGACCTCCTTCCCTGTGCATCACTTCCTTATTCTGTTGACCATTTCTTCCCATGATCCTTTCAGTCAAGGACACAGAAAGGGACCGAGCTGTGGGCCATTATCCACCCATCTCCAGGCCACTCGAGGAAAAAGTGCCTCAGTCCTGAAGGAAAGAGCCAGGCAGGATGCATGACAGGACTCGGACCCAGCAGTTCCAAAACCAAATGCATTCAGTTCCAGCCACTCTACTTCCAAATCTTTTCTGTCACTGCTCCACTTGACGTTCCTATCCCTTCCTGACAAGACTAAAGTGCCAACCTCCTTGGCTGGCCTGGCCTATCACCTCTTCTTCACAGTCACCAGGTAAGTAGCTTTTTAATTAAAAAAATAAAAAATTATGTAAAAACATACACCGTGCAAAATTTTCCATTTTGACCACTGAGAATGTACAGTTCAGTGGTATTATTACATTCCCAGTGTTGTATAGCTGTCATCACTATTCATCTCCTGAACATTCCCATTAACCTAAACAGAAGCTTAACAGTTGCGAAGTAACCATTAAGTGACAACTAGCCATTCTCCCTTTCCCCAGCTCTTCCTAACTTCTGTTTTCTGTCTGCTGAGGAATTTTTTTAAGGAAGTGTCTTAGTCACTTTTTTTATTGCTGGGACAAAACACCTGACACTAGCAACTGAAAAGAGGAGGCGTTTATTTTGGCTCACATTTTCGGTGCACAGTGGGCTGGCTCCACAGTGGGAAGGCGTGGTGGAAGGGTCTGGCTGGGAAAAGCTGCTCATGTCATGGCAGCCAGGAAGCAGACAGAAGGGAGGAGCTGGAAGGGAAAGGCACCTTTCCAGGCCACGCCCTCAGTCACCCACCACTTCCAACCAGCCTCTGTGTTATGGTTGATACATTGTGTCAACCTGGGGAGTCTAGAGGTTTGGCTAAGTGACTCAGCAGTTGTGCATGTGGGGTGAAAAGGACATGCCCTTACCCTTTGGGGATGTTGTTCATTGTGTCAGTTTGGGAAGTTTAGAAGGTTAGCTATGTGACTCAGCAGGGAGCCAGGGCGCTTACTTTGTATTCATCCTGAGCCTGTGCAAGAGAAGGGCATGGAGATTATGTGAGTGCTACACAAGCCCTGGGTATGGGTAGCTTGCTCACGATATAAGGGAGGGAAAGAGGATTGCTTTTCTCTACTCCTCCCTTGTGCTCTTGTTGCTTTTGCTTTCACCGCCATGAACATTTGCCTTCTGCCATGTGCCACTGTGCCTTGGGGCCAGCCGAGTATAGACTGAAATCTCCACAAACTGAGCTAAATAAACCTTTCCTTCCTTCATTTTGGGCGTCAGGTATTTTGTCTCAGCAACGAGACAAAAGTAACCAAGACACTCCACCTCCTAACATCAAGCTATAATACCCTCGTGATTCAATCATCATCAAAAACCCCACCTATGAGCACTGAGGCTTTTGGGGGATTCTAGATATAAGCCCTAACAGGAAGATACCTTGGATACTTTGTGTTGTGCAACAACGCATCCTCTCCATCCTCTTTGCCTCTCCCGTGCTGACCAGTGTGTCCCTTCTCACCCCGAGTCATGGTCAAGCTCTTTACTGCCTTGCTGGCCTCTCCACCTTCTAGTCACCTACCACTCCACACTGGCTTCTAGCCCAGTTTGGCTTTACTATGGCTTTTGTCTCAAGGAGAGCAGCCTTCAGGAATACTTACAAATAAAACTCACAATTTATCCTTTGCCCTATCTGGTACACAATTTTCTCCTGGAGAGGAAAGTAGGAAGAGAGCAAATGAAGTATTTGCTTATGGCCCCCAAGCCCATTTTCAGGGGGCCTCTTGGCCTGCCCTTTCTTCTATTCTCATGTGGCTGCTGAATTTGAACCTGGTCAACCATAAATTAGTGCAACCATACACAGTAGCCGGGTTCAGAACAAGCGTTTAGCAGAGGCCTGAAAGGTAAAGAGGTATCAACACAAACAGCAGGGGCAAAAATATACGCAGAGCCAAATGTGCACAAAATACTGAGGCGTGGAAAAGGGAGGTTTCATATTTAAGAAACAGAGAGGTTGGATACCTGGAGAGTAGGCACTCAGGAAAATGTCACAGGACAAAGCTGGACACCTGTGGCCTTTATGAAGTTTAGAGTCGATTGTGTGTTCACCAGGAAGCAATCTGTGTTTGTGGGAAGCTTTTACTGTATGTATTAGAAACCCTATGTAAAGGCTTTGTCTATACAATAAAGGGGATTTATTGGCCTGAGTAACCAAAATGTCCAGAGGATTGCCTTTAGGTGGAAGGTTCTGGCTTCTCTCTCAGAAATTCTGAAAGTCCTTGCCTATTTTCACTGAATGTTGCAAGATGGTTTTGTTACTAAGATACATGTTTCTCCTTTCATTAGGAAAGGGCATGTCTAGCCTCTCCCAAGTAATTTTAAAAGCCCAGCTTCCCCCTTCATTGGATCAATCTGGACCAGCCAGTGACTAGGGGCTTGCTGTGCATTGTTAGCTGATGTTTAGTAACAGCCTATCCCTAAGTCAATCTCTGCAGTGAAAGGGAAGTTGTGACTCCAATTAGGTCTCCCCTCTCCTTGGCGCTAGCGTTGGGGGTAATCCAGAATGGCACGGTTGTGTTGTATGACAGAGAAGGCTTGCACTCCCTGGCAAGGATGGAAGAGGCCCTTGGGCCTGACAACAGGCATACGGTTAAGGCACTGCCACCCACTCGTGGCATCTAACCAAATGGCATGGTTACCACTTAACTGGGCCATTGTGTTTCCCTACAGAATTTGGAAATTGTAAGGAAAGGAAGAAAAAACGAGTGGATATTGGGTAAATAACCAAACATGTCATTATGCCACTGAAAGGACTCATAAAAACATCACTGTGGCTCCTATGAGGACAGACTGGAGTGGCCAGAGAAGAAGGCTTATTAGGAAAATAATTATTACAGTAGCTCAGCCCAGTGTGGTGGTAGAGATGGAGGTATTTTGTTGGCAGAATTGATGGGACTTGGTGATATATCTGAGTTATGGAAGAGGCCATTTTACTCAGACCATGAGGTCTCAAATGCCAACCTTCAGTCTTTCTTTGTAGCAATGAATGATATAGGTAGTGGGGTGGGTTGTGGTGACAGCAAGAGATTAGTATTTTTTGTCTTCTACTTTTTCTTTCCTCTCGTTATGGTGTCTGGATCCACCCCCACCCCCCCGCCAAAGCCATGTGGGCATGGGGGGTGAGTTTTGTGGAGGTAGCTGAATGAATCTAGAGTACGTGATTGGTTCATTGTCTAGTGTTGGGGGTGTCAATGCTACACCTGCCCTAGGGTGTGTAGCCTGCATTCGGTATAAGGGAGGAAAAGATGCTTTCCTCCCCTCTTTTGCTCTGGTTGCCACTGGTATTTTCTACTGCCATGAACTGTTGCCCTTTGCCACACCACCCTACCTTGGAGCCGGCTGATATGGGCTAAAACCTCCTCTACAAATTGTGAGCTAAATAAACCTTTCCTACCTTAATTTTAGGTGTCAAAAGAATAAGCACTCCTCCTCCTTTCAAGTCACAAAATTATTTTAAAAATTTATCATAGCACATTATTTTTCTAATACTTTCCAAATAAAAACATCAAAATCACAATCTGTAGTTTTTAGTTTGATTGTATCCAAGTTGAGAATAACCTCAAAAATTTTTTTTTAGTTTAATTTTATAAGCCAAAAGGAAACAGCTTCACTTCAGTATTAGAACATTATGAAACTATTTTGTGGAATATTTTCAGTTCGAATTAACAGGCTTGCTATGCCATTCAATCTAGCAAACTGCCATGATCAGGAATTGAACATGTTTTAGCTTTTCAAAACATCAATTACAGGCATAAGAGTGCAACTGCCGCCCCTGGTTTTATCTTCTAGTTATCCACCATCTACAGCTATGGAAAGAGGTGATATTAAGCTTCCAGGATATCAGTTGGCAATTTTTACAGACTAAGCAAACAATAGCTGCAATTTGATGCACTGGTAGAAGCACACTGGGTGTATTAATTCTGCGTATTGATTCAACAACGCACTTACATTTAAAAATTCATTTCTAATCTGATTTCAAGTTCTTCTTCATCTGTTAAAAAAACTGCTTTTCGTCCATTCATTTAAAAAGTTTAGGGCTTGGCTTTGTCTCAATTTAAACCCCCTGTATTGTTTGTTGGATATTTCCACCCCGCCCACCCCTCTTTGGTTTTGTCATTCTTTTTACCTTGATGAGATAAAAATTTCCTGCCTAGACACCTCACAATATTGTGTCTTGAGTGTCAAGTGAAGTCATATATGAAAAAAATATGAGTCACAAAACTCAGGCCTCACAACATTTAAGAGTTGTAGCAGTGTCATCCCTGCCCACGTTTATCATTTTTGCATTACAGCTTCCTCAGTATTTAAGAGGGCCTTCTTGAGGATCCAGATGATGCTAGACCAATGTGCAAGGCAGGCTGGAAGTGGCGGGAATTAATACTTCTGAGAATAGCCCTCAACCCATGACCAGTGAAACTGGTGGATAAATACATATCCCAGCTTTTTAGTAGTGGGAGGGAGCAAGGCGGGCAACTCTAAAAAGTGTTCTGTGCAGTTTCCCAGATGACCGCAGTGAGATTGAGCCCAGTTCCTGCAACAGTAACCTCTTCATTAGTGGACATTATTTTGTGTTCCTTAGTTTTTTGCTAGTTTACCTCTGAAGTGAATGAACTATGCTCTAATTCTTGTTACAAGGTCTGCTTCTGGTGGAATTCATTGTAAGGCTCTAGTTCGGTATGTATCCAGCTAGCTCACTGGTGGTATCCTAGCCATCAATTCTCTGCCTTTACTGCCTTCGTGTCACAGGGAGTGAAATCTATTTTACCTCTTGACTGACTGCACTTAGTATGTGGTAACACCCAAGCAGTGATTTCCTAGTAATCTTGGCCATATACTCCTTCTCTGAGAGGCTGGATACCTTCTAGGAGGGCTAACAGATAAACGGTCAAGCAGAGGGAGATGAAATATTATCTTTATTGCTAATGAAGATGCTACTGGAGAAAATGGCTCACAGCAGTGGGCCAATGAACTCACTAGTGAAGCATACTTTTGGACAGTCACAGATAGTGTTGGGCAACTCTTGGCCTTCAACTGTGTGGGACAGAGCCTGCAGCTTTGAGGTTTGCAGAACGCAGGAGCAGAAAAGGGTATGTTCACCCAGCAGGCAGGCAGACACAAAGAGAACGAAGAAGCAGCTGAGGCACAGACGCCTAGTTCCTGGTTTCTCAATTTTCAGTCAGAGAATTTATCCATCTCCCTTCTAGGAGAAAGTGTTATTTAACCTTATTTCCCTTTCTCATGGAAACAAGATATCGGGAAAGGAGGCTTGTCCTTTCCAATCCTGCTCATTTTTGTTATTTGCTCAATGTGCTTGAGTAGTAAGCTCAAAGCCAGACATCTCCTTTGCAGGAGGGCAGCAATCTGAGTGCACTGTTGTTCCCACTTTCATTAGTGCATCCTTGTATTAGGGTTCTCTCGAGGAACAGAATAGTAGCATGTAATTATACAAGGGCATTTATTACAGCAGTGTGCCGATCAGAGATGGGCATCCACGACTGTCTGTGGGATTGGGGCAGGAGAATCAAGCACTCCTCAGCCAAGATGAAAGCTGCAGAACAGGGATCGAGGATGCAGCTCTGGCCCAGAAACTTGCTGGAGAGTCGCTGGTGTAGGCCTGTTCTGTCTCTTCTCATATGCTTCACTTGTCTATCATTTTGAGTCTTAAGTCTAAAAATTTTTAGGG